CACCTTGTTGAATCAATGCCACGTAGAATTAAGGCAGTTCTGAAGGTGAAAGGGGGTCAAACACCGTATTAGTATGGTGTTCCTAATAATCCTTTAGGTGAGTGTACAGTAAACTGGTGAAATTTGCAGATGACACCAAGGTGGGTGGTGTAACAGATACTGAACTAGCAGCACAGAGGCTACATCGGGATCTTGATTTAATTAGCAACTGGGCTGATACCTGGCAGATGAAATTTAACATTGATAAATATAAGGTAATCCATGCAGGGAGCAGAAATATAAAGTACATATATTTTATGGGTTCCACTGAAATAAAGGTAGCTGATTATGACGAAGACCTCGGTGTGTATGTTGATGTCCCACTCTCGCCAGTGTGGGGAAGCAATGAAAAAGGCCAATGGGATGTTGAGTTAGATCTCTAGGTGTGTGGAGTTTAAGTCATGGGAGGTGATGCTACAACTATATAATTCCTTGGTAACACCCCACCTAGACTATTGTGTGCAGGTTTGGTCACCATACCTTAAAAAGGACATTGCTGTGCAATGTAGGGCTACAAGAATGATTCCTGGTCTTAGAGGAATGTCTTATGAGGAGAGGTTAGCTGAGCCGAATCTGTTTAGCCTCGAACAAAGGAGACTAAGGGGGGACATGATCCAGGTGTATAAAATTCTAACGGGTCTGGATGCTCTTCAGCCAAATGGCTATTTCAATATTAGTTTAAATACTAGAACTTGTGGCCATAAGTGGAAATCAGTGGGAGAACATTTTAAAATGAATTTGAGAAAGCACTTCTTCACACAACTTGTAGTTAGAGTATGGAATAGTCTTCCTGTGTAGCGCAAGCTAAAAACCTGGGTTCCTTTAAATCAGCGCTAGATAAGATTTTAACAACTCTGAGCTATTAGTTAAGTTCTCCCCAAACGAGCTTGATGGGCCGAATTTCTTATGTTCTTGGTAGAGATGGGCGATCCACATTTTTTCAGTTCTGATCCGATTCCGATACACAACTGCCGATTCCGATACAGATTCCGATACAAGAGCTCTTTTTACTTTGTTATACTTTATATATGAATTTTTTTAAGCTAGTAAATACAGATGGAAAAAATGTATGACAAAAAATATTTAATTAGGCTACTACACACATGCATAACGTACTGTTCCACCTCGTTTGTTTTAAGCGTTTTTGAGGCATTTGCAGTTCAATATGAATATCTTCAAAGTAGGGCTGCAACTAACGACTATTTTGATAGTCGACTAGTCATCGACTATTAAAACGATTAGTCGACTAATCGGATTATAAATTGCATAATTATAAAATGGCTCCTATTTAGCTAACAGCTTTTACATTTAGCATGAGGTTATTGTTCGACATCAATGCCGCAAAATAACACATGTAAAATGGGAAAGAGCTGTAGTGCGATTGATTGTGCAAATAGATTTAACACGAAATGGGAGGTTTCTTTTTAGAGATTGGCAAAAACTAAATAAGTAAGTATAGGATGTGGATTGGTCACACATGGCTGATACCCGATCCGTCAAATAGGTCTGGATCGGCACCGATCCGAATTTCTGATACAATATTTGTTATAATCAGGGCTGCATATAACTGGTATGCAAGTACGCATTCACCTTTTATAAGCGATACGTGCGGCAATCTTTTGCTGTGACAGTGCAAATGTGTACGTATTTTATGTACATTTGTGCTGATATGACAAGAAATTATCATGCATTTTAACCTGTATATGCTAATTCGTACTTCATTTGCGGTATAGGGGTTAAAATGCACGGTAATTTCTTGTCATATAAGCTATATTTATATAGCCTATGTTTACAAATAAAAACTCATTTTAAAGCAGGCTGAAAAATCCCAAGATCTTGACCCAAAATACAGGAAATTTAGAGCAGCTTCCCATTGCCATTCCTCTGTTAACAGCAAGAAAACGGACTTAAACTGCTGTTATTTATTTTTAAGGGAGTATAAGCTCTCGCAGCACTTGCGACATTGGAGCCACTGTCCTGAATCTTGAGCTTCAGAGTTTTGGCTTCTTTATTTAAGCAATGGGTTTTCTACACTGTTTTCTGACCTTTATTAGCTAAATTTTTAGCGAATGAGACACTTCGTTCATGACACACCACCGACTTCCAAACAAAAATACGTTCTATTCTGATCTTTTTTGAAAATGTAAAATATACTACTACTAGTCTATTATGCCCTATTATTATTATTGTTGTTGTTGTTGTTATAATTATTTATTATTATTATTATTATTATTATTATTATTATTATTAGATACTCCAGACAAGAAGTCCGTGCTATTCACCCTTTTGTAGATCTCGTCTTTGTTTTCGGACATAAAAGCCTTTGAGACTTTAGAGCGTTTAATATGCCTGATTTGTGGCCACCATTCTTCTACCTGTTGCTGAATGTGCAAGAGCGAATCTCACCTGTGTGGTGTATTGGTGCAGTCTATTGGAAAGTGGTAGTATTGCACAAGTATAAAGGAAGGAAAACGTCTCACTCCATTTAAAAATACGTCTGGCGACAATTATCGACAATCAAATTCGTCGGCGACTATTTTTATTGTCGATTTTTGTCGACAATGTCGAATAATCGTTGCACCCCTACTTCAAAGCAATTATACACAAGTGGTGAATGCTTAAAATTTTAACAGTTTTTCTCCCATTGGTGTCAGCGCAGTTACACTTTTGTTGCGATGGCAGCCCCTCTTGTATCACAAGCTGCAGCGAGTTCGCAAAACAGTCCAATTAAGTTGGCGACTCCCAAATCATCCATTGCTTTGTTTTGTCTCACAGTTGCGTGCGCTTTGTTAAATGGGATTGTCCATTAAACGCTATTCCCACCTCAAAACTTTATTTTACATAGATTGCAAATCGCTGTGCTGCTGGTTTCTGTTAAAAGCGTATAATAATCCCAGATCGTCATGTCTTATCTTACGCTCCTTGTACTGCGAAGGGTAATGCGCATGACGTCTCAGCAGGCGGAAGTCACTGTACTCACACCCACTGAGTGGCAAAAAAGACTGAGGGGCAGGGATAGCGTTCGATTTGAATGCCACAAAAAACACATGTAAAATGGAAAAGATCTGTCGTGTGATTGATTGCCAAAAACTAAATAAGTAAGTATAGGACGTGGATCAGTCACGCATGGCAGATACTCAATCCGTCATATAGGTCTGGATAGGCGCCGATACCGATCTGAATATCAGTATCGGTGCATCTCTAGTTCTTGTGTGTGTCAACGCTCAGGGCGTAGGTTTGGTTTCAACATTGATAGGGACGAATGGACTGTGTCATGAAGCAATATTAGTTGCTTTACCAGATTTAAGGTACTCCTTTTTAAATGGAATTTATCTTCGCTCCCAAACAAATAGCCCAGACTACTTCAAATCCAACAAGTTATCCAGCTAAGCAAAAAATCTGGCTTCGTGATACAGGCCCCAAATCAGCCCCAATTTCCCCCACCCCCTGAACACACACTACTTCCAGGTAGGGACATGTCCATACTGTCCATACTGTCCATACCCAAATCTACGCCCTTGGAAAATTTGGTCCACCTAGACCACAGGTGTCAGACTCCAGTCCTGGAGGGCCAGAGCCCTGCACATTTTTGGGTGTCCCCTCGTTTAACACACCTGATTCAACTTCTTGTGCTAATTACCACATAGCTGTTGAGCGGAATCATTTGTGGTGGAACAGGGAAAGAACTAAGCTACACAGGGCTGCGGCCCTCCAGGATTGCAATTTGACACCCCTTACCTAGATACTCATCTACACTTTGTCCTTACACAGGACTCTTCATAACTATCAGTCATTTGCTTCATATAAATTAGGTTTGCATAATTTAAAATATCCCATGCTATTGACCAGCCAGCTTTATTCAGGAGGCAGGGCTGTATAACTTCAGTCCTTTCAATGTGTTTTTATGCTTCTAGGGAGGCCTGCCTTCATCCAGCTGGCTGACCTTCTGAACATCCAGGTGATAACTCTAAAGTCCCGAATTCACCCCCTGCAAATATATCTGCCTGGGATTTATAACTCCGCTGCCAGCAGGTGCACCCGTTGTGTGGTGCAGCACCGGTGAGTCTCTGTAGCCCTCGGAGATCAGTTTAAATCGTTACTCGTTTATGTGATTAGATGTTGTTAATAATGTCAGACGTATTTAATTGGCAATTTCCTTCTTTGCAGGTTCTTTGTCTATGTGTATGATTTGATCATCCTAGTGAACGCCGTGTTTATCGGACTTGACGAGGAGAACCCATTTATCTCGTACTCCGAGTGGGTCTTCCTGGGGCTGTATCTGTTGGAGATTCTCCTGAAGCTGTATGCCTTCGAGCCGCGGGCGTTTTATGCCCGGCATCAGTTCTGGAACTGGTGAGGAGCGCCACCTTCTGGCTGCTTTGTGTCAGTGGGGCAGGATGAGAAACATTGTCAGCCGTAGTATTATAACTCAGACGCGGAATTCGAGGAGAGAAGGGATGTTCATCACACAGCAAACATAAACACTCATTATTGCTTTTGATATGAATTCTATACCATTAACAGGAATGTAAATTTCATACTTTCACCGAGTTTTATTAGTAGCCTTACTTGCAGGATCCTCAGAATAGGGTGGGTCGGTGGGTTGGGGTGGGGGGCACTTGCCCCTCTTCCAATCAATCAATCAATCAATCAATAACCATATATAAATATGAGCATGTTCCTTATCTTTAATTATGAATCCCCATGCTACTGAGGGCAATTAGCTGCGCAGGCAGAGCATGAGGACAAAACATATACCTAACGAAGATTGTGGTCCTGTATCAGACAAAATCATTTTATCATACGGATGTTATTTTCATGTTTAGTTTTGAAATTTTACCCGAAACAGTGTTTGTTTTATTTTAAAGTCTGAAATTATTTAAAAATCTATCTTGCATCATATCCTTTCACAACGTGACTATTGCATGTGTGTCCATAGTGATGTCACGATATAAACCCCCCACCTCACCCTCTTTGCCACTTGGACAAATTTGGTTCCCCCCCCCACTGCTTACTTGATAGATATGATCTTTTATAAACAGAAAGCATTGCTGGAATGGCTTTTAACACATGTGTTAAGTGGAGTAAAAAAAATCTAACATGTCGCTCATGTGCACAGATATTGTTGGCTGGGTACATCTGAACCTTGTAGAAGATGCAGAACAGGAGACACTGTTGTCTGTTTGGGCCTGGTGCCAAATGCCAGTACTGTATCTGTAGTAAAATACAATTCGCCAGTCTCTGCATTCAAGACACTCAATTTGCAGATATGTGCCGTGACAGATTTTCACACCTCGGAGATGTGTTTCCGCCATTTTCCGAGCTGGGAATCTTGTCAGAACACGTCTGATCTGCTGTTCATATGTTTGGAAAGCCAAGTGTTACATAAAATGTGAAACAGTCAAAATTGTCACAGCGCAGTCTTGTTTCTCACGCATGTGGTTGCAAAGATGTTTTCTCTGAATGATGCATCATTTGGAATGAGATGTGTATTTCGAACAGCAGTTGGATGGATCCTGTTGAATACTTTCTGGTATGCTAAGCAGACTGTCATTTTTCAGTCATATATCTTATAAAGGCTCATTTGTTGTTAGTCAACAAAACCTAAAATGTACCTGACCTGTCCTTTCCCTCCACAGGTTTGATACTATCATCATCATTTGTGCACTAATTGCTACCATACTGAATTCAGCCCTAAAATCCAGTGAGTACATGTTATCATCCTATCAAATTGAAGACTGAGGTGGCTAGTCCTATTCACAAATGGTGATTCATTCAGGAAATTGCTGAATAAATTTAATTTCAATCAGTTCTAGTTTCAAGCATCATATCAATTCATCATCAGGTGCTGAATAGGCTGAATTATAGCATTACAATTACTGTAATAGTAATACTTTGCCAAAGAGATGTTAAAGAATGTAATGCTGCATGTATTTGTTAGTTTTGAGCTGCTTTTAGTGTGTATAGTGAGAAAATGAATTTTGCATATAGTCTTTTGAAAGTGCATTTTTTAACAACTAGAGTCAGAAAAGAACAGTTTGTGCTGTTTGTGAAGCAGCTGAGTGCCAGTCCAACATACCCACTTGCAGCCTATCTCCCATATTTCTTAAAATGAAGGTATGGAGTCCTAAATCTGAGAGGCGGAAGGTGAGATGGTCTCGTGGGGTGTTTATTTGTGGTGCCGACTGATATGGTGATGGAACTGCTAACCTTTGTGTGATGCTTCTGCTGGGTTCCTCTCCCAAAAGTGATGCTAAAGCCACCACCCCCCCGCCCCCCAAATGTGTGTTTTTTAGGTTTGGCTTGCAGTACCTAAAACCTCTGGATGTTGGAGTAGTTTACTTACCTGTAGTGTTTCTGTCATTCTTAAGTGGGTATCCAGTAAATAATTATTGTCTTGAATATTTCTCCGCACTGATAGCTTAATATGCTGTCAGGATTCAGATGATAGCTGATGTCTGTTTCTCTGGTTCTGGTCCTCTCCTGCTTTGTTCATGCTTTCACCATGGATTACCAGTGGCTATATTGGATCACTTAGGGTGCTTTTCCTCTGCACCAGGCACTGTTCTTTTGGTACTTTTGAGAAAGTAATGACATCACAATGCAAGGCGGGGTATTTTGTACTGAATTTGAAAAATGGCTGTAACATATTATTCGGCTTGGCAATGTGCAATATTAATAACAGCATTGCATATTATGCACATACAATTCTCACATCACTAGTCAGCTATATTAAAATAAGATTCTTTCTTACTTTCAATTCTGTATGGACATTATAGCACAGAGGGTTAAAGTTTCGCTAAAATATTTTTACTCTGTTACTCTGTCATAGTAAAGCTTTCAATAATTTTTTTTTTATTGATTCTTCCATGTTTTAAAAATCAGTTTAAAGTATTACCTCCGCTGCTCTGAGACAATCGTAATAATTTTCGTCCTTGCCATTTAAATCACTTGACAGATTTGTGAGAAATTTACAAAAAAACTTTTTTGTTTTAGAAATACCCCAATATTTATTACAACAAAATCACATCACTACACGCTATATGCCTACTGTATTAGTCTATTCAACAAAGTACTTTTTAATTTCTTGTCATGCCATCCTGATCTTTTTGTTGTATATGTTCTTACAGCCAAATTGCATTTTTTAAAATTATTTTCTGAGTTCACAACTGCTTTCAAGGCAGCATTTGTATTGTCTTTCAGCAGCAGGCTATTCACATAACCAATTCACTTAGAAAGCGCTTCAAGTCCAACCCCAAAGTACCGAAGCACCAAGAAGTACCCCTGCTGGTTTGGCACTTTCGGTACTGGAGCTTTTGGTACTGACACTTGACTGGAAGTCAATGGAAAAGCGCAAGGACTGATGGTACCATACTTGGTGCAGTGGAAAAGCACCCATTTTGAGGAGAAATTATCTGCTCTCTACTGCCCCCCCTAATGCACGCTGTGTTTTTCCTCCTATAGTAAAAGGAGGCCAGTATATTGGGGACTGACATATTCAGACTATGATCTGTGTCACTTAGTTTGAGCATTACCTGCAGCTACCTGAATACAACTCAACATGTTGATGTCTGTGCAATGATGTTGAACTGTTTGATTTCAGATGTTCTGTTGAAAATTTTCCAACATAGCCCCTGGTGACAACTTAGTTATTTCCGGTAATATACCCATGGTAGTCTCTGTAGTCAGTTCCTACAGGGTCAGGAGTCCTTTGGTTTCAAAAGGAATTATTTGAGGATATATTTTTCTTGTGGCATTGGGCTTTGCTTTCGTATATACCTCAGAAGCATCATTTGGTTTCCCTTGTGTGATGCATCTGAAAAGTCCTCCCACTGTTGAAGCAACCTCTCAAAGGTTTCTCCTGTCTAAATCCAGGCAGTAAATGGTTCATACCTTTCTACTGTTGAAGAAAAGGCTTGTCTGTGCACACTTCCAGAATCCTTTGTAATGTGGTGACAAATTGTACTCACTGTGTCGCCTTTCAGGTAGCAACTACAACAGCCGTGAAATCCTGGATATCGTTTTCATCCTGCGTGTCTTGAGGCTCATCCGTGTGGTGGACAGCATTAAAAGGTAAGCAGTTGGTTTCTAATAATCAATGTTTTTTTTTTATGTGGTTAAAATATATTGGATTGGGAATTACAATGGGGGGGTGACATGGTGGTGCAGTGGTTAGCACTGTTGTCTCACACCTCTGGGACCTGGGTTCAAGTCTGCGCCTGGGTTACATGTGTGTGGAGTTTGCATGTTCTTCCCGTGTCGTCGTGGGGTTTCCTACAGGTACTCCAGTTCCCCCCCCCCAGTCCTAAAACATGCTGAGGCTAACTGGCGTTCCTAATTTGCCCATAGGTGTGCATGTGTGAGTGAATGGTGTGTGAGAGTGCCCTGTGATGGGCTGGCCCCCTGTCCAGCATTGTTTCCAGTATAGGCTCTAGACTTAGACTCTAGGCTTATCCCAGTAGGATAAGCGGGTTGGATAATGGATGGATGGATGGAATTACAATAGACAGTAACTGAACAAGACTTCCAGACCTGAGATATTCATGACCTGAGATGACTTTAATATCTTACTACCTTTTTTTGAGGTTTTTATGGTTATTATGGTTGAAGATGGCCTTGATACCACTAACAATATGCCTGGCTGCCTTGTACTGTGCCTGAGCACGATTGTCCCCACTCCCCTTTTCGTCTGCGGTCACAATACTCTTAACAGATGGACCCAACATGCTTTTATCATCACCGTGCAACTTTTTCTGTTGAAAAGCTGATGACACACGACTCCCTAATAGATTTATCAAGTACACAATGCAGCAATTTTCCCTCTCACTTTACCAAATATCTTGGAGTTTTTTGTGTGTTTGCATCCAGTTGTTCCTAGATACTCTCATCAGCCCAGATTTCCAGCAAACACTGCACCTCTTTTGTAGACCAAAGTAATCACATTTGATAAATGGCCAGTCACATTATTGACGTCATGTCTGAGTTCCGTGCTCAGGCACTGTTAGCAAGGTGGGCCCTGACACGGTATAGCAATCACATTGGACTTTGGGGGTCAAAACGTGCTTGGGCACGCCAGGGATTGCCTAGTGTGAGTACATCCCAATATTAAATCATTAGCCTGTAGAAACAGAGAAAAAGTAGCCAATTCAGAGCACATGTTACCCGATAAATGTTTGTTACATGTGTTTTTCTGTCACTCCTTGCTCTCAGGTTCAGGGCCATCATTAATACTCTTATTAAAATTGGCCCAACGATTCTCACATTTGGACAGCTTATTATTGTAAGTATCCTATTTAATTTTAACGTAAATTGACAGCATTTTCCAGACATTCTGATTCATATACACTGAAATATTACCTATTTTACAATGAACTACAATGAATTTCATTAATTGCCTGTGGTACTGCATGTAGGTGATATACTACATATTTGCCATGGTGGGAATGGAACTCTTCAAGGGTACAATCCAGTTTTTTGAAAATGGTGCCTTAAAGCCTGGACACGAGTTCTGTGGAAACCCACTTCTGAATGGATCTGCATTTGCAAAGAACAACTACTGCAGGAACAACTTCAACAATGTCATTTCTTCCTTCATTCTCCTCTTCGAGCTCACAGTGGTCAACCAGTGGCACGATATCCTTTTTGATGTTGGAACTACCCAGTGCAACAGAAAGCATGGTTAATATTTAATTTGGGGATTGTTGGAATTGGTAGATTTTGCGAATATAAGTTATCTTTTGAAATATCAGCTATTGTGTGTTTTTAATCCTTATTTGTCAACATTGATGTGGGATGGTATTGAGATAGGCACCCTTGAAATATGAGGAAAGACTAGCTCAAAAACAAGTGGGGAAACAACTGAAGTTTTTTGTCTTTAATACAAGTGCACTTCTGGCCAGCGGTTTTACCACAGTGACGAGTAACGCTGCCAGGATCTACTTTGTTGTGTTCCACATCGTTGTGGTCATCATCATCATAAAGTAAGGCCAACTTTGCATTACTCAGATTGGACAATGTGTCATAACTATAACCAGCTCACCATAGACGACATATTATCTTAGTTCTTCAAATTTATCGATTATGGGAGTGAAATCTCAGTGAAGGGAATACAGTAGAATGTGTTCAAACTTTTTAATTCTTATACGGTGGAAACTGCTTATATAGTTATAGTGATCAACCGCATATATGGATGAAAAAGCTTGGAACAGAATCATTCTTGTACAAATACCATTTAAATAATTTGCTTACAGTAATCAAGTAGTCCACTTCATGTGCACTTTGGGGCTTTTTAAGCATGAGAACATATGGAAAAAAATTTAAACTGCGGTAATTCTTGTTTAAAAAAAAAAAAAAAAAAAAACTGCCTTGTGGTAACCAGTCTGCTTCTGGGTAGCTATACCTGAGGCTAATGTGGCGTGCACAGAAAACATAACAGGAAAAAGAAAGTCATTTTCTCTAAATGACAAATATAGACTCATCAAAGTACATGCTAAACTGCCAAAACCGAGCCACCGAGATGGAGCAGCCAAACTACAATAAGTGCTTTGAGATAATGTAATGTTGTGAAAATGCGCTGTATAAATAAAATTTAATTGAACTGAATATTTATATAACGTACTGTATTATAGCGTACAGTATTTGAATTATACAAGTTCTGTAATTCATTTTGTACAATACTATAATTTAAAAAGCAGTTGAAAAAGCTGTACTGTATTTTGAAATTGTCAATAACATTAAGTATAAGCGACGCTGTCCGGTTTATTAGGCTACCTTATATGCATGTAATATACAAATTCCAATTATATTGTAATCTGCCTGAGACATAAAGAAGAAGAAAAAATGGGTTCTAATCAGGGATTGACATAGCTGGTACGCTTTCACCTTTAAAAAGCGATACGTGCGGCAATCGATTATTGTAACAGCGTGAATGCGTACATATTTTATGTGTATTTGCGCCGATATGACGAGACATTATCGTGCATTTTAACCTCTATAATGCAAATGAAGTACAAATTAGCATACAAAGATTAAAATGCACAATAATTTCTTGTCATATCGGCGCAAATGCACATAAAATATGTATATATACGCATTCACGCTATTACAACTCGCGAATTCGCCGTGAACAATTAAACAGGAATAGTTTTGGGAGCTTGCTGAAAGATCGCAGAAACTCGCGTAAGCCAAAAGCAATACTAAAAATTATTCCGCATTATTAGTAATACATAATATTTGTTAGTGTACATGCATGCTTCATCTTTAATATTGAAAGTCGAGGCTTGGGTGCCACGCGCATCTTTTATCTCGACAAACAGCCTCACTCAAGTGTTACATGTTTATGCAACCATGAAATCTCACGTTTCTCGTAGTAACTTCCAGAAATTTTCACTGCCGGTAATTTAGTATTTTTAATAATGGGTCCAAATGTAGTGCTCCCAGTATGTACAGTAGTGACTTTTTATATGCTGGGGCCAGGGGCGGATTAACGCACAGGCTAGATATGGCTTAAGCCTAGGGGCCCCACGTGTGCCAGCCTGCAAGGGGGGCCCCATTGGCGCGGAGGGGGGCGGGGTTGGGGGGCCCACAGACTACTGTAGCCTAGGGGCCTCTGTGCACCTTAATCCGCCCCTGGCTGGGGCATAATTTAGATGGTTTATATATTATGTCGAAAAAAGTCTTGCTATATAGGCACATAAAAGTAATTTGACAAATGAATTGTACAGCACCGTTTTAGAAATTGCTAATAGATGTTTTATGTTATCGTTCAGGCTATAGCAGACTGTTATGGGCAGAGGTTAGGGGGCCCGGGTATTCCTTAATTTTCACATTGGTGTGCCTCTACACCTCGCGAATGTGATAGGGTTACTGCATACCTGTCACGTGCTCCATAACTATTACAGTAAAACGGTGATCAGAAAAACTCAAAAATACTAGTCATATTTTACTGGTTTCTACATATGAATATTAGAATATTGTGATAAATATCAATAATGCGAAAATATTAGAATATTGTGATATTTTTAGGGCATATTGCCCAGCCCTACTCAAACCCATTACTAGGAACGAACAGCTCTTCAATCAAAACCCATTACTAGGAACGAACAGCTAGGCAATCAGAGAAAAAAACAAACAACAAAACATACTGTCAACATTTTCTAGTGTTACGCCCTATGACAAAGTTTATTTTGTTATGATTTACTTTTTAAATTTAGATTTCAGTATGCAGTTCATTCAGTTTGCAACCTGTAGATGTAGATTCTTTATTTGTCACATGTAGTTATAGCTGCTACAACATACAGTGAAATGCTTTTTCTGGCAAAAAGTACCCCGGCTGTGCTATACAGTACCAACATCACAGAAAAATAAAGTGCATATAGTATGAGTATATGCATATAGTATGAGTATGAGACACATGAGTATACATAACATAACATTGCACTGTGAAAGTTTTCATGTTTTGAATCTGTTTAAGGGCAATTCTAAGGGATTTTTAATAAAAAAATTGAGCTTTGAAGTGAAGAAGTAACGACTTCAATTACATTGTGATAATTATCAATATTGTTTGATGTTAGGGGAAAAAAAATTATCGGTATAAAATATTTTGCCATATAGCCCAGGCCGAGTACTTCCTGGTATTGACTAGGCATATTTAAGGTGACCACTGATTGCATCTTTGCATATGGTTTAAACTGACCCCCAAAATAGTTCGAACTTCCCTATTACTTTCTCTTGTTATCTATTTACTTTATTACTTTGGTTGGTTGTTTTGTGTGTTAAATGTGTGGAATCTGTTGTCAATATTTAGCAAATATTTGCAAAATATTGCAGTAGTCATTCTGAAAGACTTGAAAGTAATCCATATTTGTTCTGTCCTCAGCATTTTTGTGGCTTTTGTACTGGAGGCTTTCTTTGTGGAGTACAACGTCAGCACGAGTGGTTTACAGACATCGCTGGAAAAGAAAATCAAGGAACTGGAGCTTGGTATAGATCAGTAGGTGTATTTGCAGATAATCTATGTTACGATCCAGTCTAGGGTTGGACCGCAACAAAGTGAAAGGGAAGGAGGGATTGGGGAGGACAGGACAACTAGGGCTAGGAGAAGGGAACACGGGACACAGAGGGAGTCTTTTTTTATAGTTTTTCACAAACACAGTACAAACACTAGGTGTAACGAACGTCAGGAGTGACAAAGGCCAAAGAAACAAACAAACAGTAACCCAAGCTGAACTACCTAAGGGAACACAAAGAAAATGGTGAAACGAAACAACAATGCCTAAATCGTATGTTATAAATATGTTACGTGCCG